GCCGCCGTACAACACTTTGCTTATCTACGCTGCCTGCCATTGGTGGATGGTTCATGATTTTTTGTTCACAGGGACTAAGTCCACCCTCCGAACCAACAAACGGCCTCATTACGCTCCTAATTTTAGGGCGTATTTTGACTGGTGTTGCGGCTGGCATGCTTCTCGCCACTGCTTCTGTGTTCCTTGTCGAAGTGGCCCCACCTTCCCAGCGTGGCCAGATCGGATCGTTCGCTCAGTTCGGTATTGTAGCGGGCATCTGCTTGGCTTACGCGTTCGGAATGTATAAAACGTGGTTCGAAACAGCTAAGTTGATGCTTTTTCCAACTGCGGTCCTCTTCGTTCTATGTTTCTATCTGCCGGAGTCTCCCGTATGGCTGTCCCGGAACGGCAACCTGAAACTAGCCGTTGCCAATCTTTCTTGGCTTCGAGGAGATGTAAGTTTTGAACGACACAATTTTATATTTAAAACTCCAGTCCGTGTAAGACACTTGGTTTATTTTTTGGCTGTCCTGCTTACTGTTCGTAAGTGCAACCTTATTTTGGCATTTATACACATTGGTGCTATTTTGTTAAATTTGCCGATGCTTTCAGTGTCGCTTTCAATCTGGAATATCTTTCAACTCTTCGGATTTTTTCAGCATTTGATTGCCTTGGACGAGCTGTCAGCCTCCTCTGCAACAAAAGATTCGGATGCTGATGACGGTCAGCTTAGTCTGGTATCCCTTCTGTTACCTTGTAAAGCTGTTCTTCCGCAACTTCGGCCCCGTCTGCGCATGGCTATCAATCTTATGATTTTTCAGCAACTCACTGGTGTAAATGTCATAACCTTCTACACCGAGCCGTTGTGTCAGAAGTTTGTTCCCATATCTCAGTCTGCGCGATGTGCTTTTTCTCTTGGTCTGGCGCAGCTGGTGTTTTCCTTAATTGCCTGCATGTTCATTGATCGCTTTCCCCGGCGCGTTTTGCTCCTCTCGACTGGTCTTATAATGTCCAGCTCCCTGATTTTATTTGCTTTTGGTCAACAAGTGAGTCCTCTTTATTTTGACTTTTGATTGCCCTAATACATTTTCCCATCAGTAATCAATGGAACGCTCTCACTTTATTGACTCTTATTTTTCATATTCTGTCGTTCGGTTGTTCAGTACTCAGTCTCTTAAGGCTATCGACCACTGCATTTACTGGTGTTTTTTAAAATTAAACTTTTCTTAATAAATCACATTTTAATTCAATCAAAATGAAAATTTGGGGGACGGAATTAATTGAAAGTAGCACCCACAACGAATTGCTTAATGCTCTCAAGCGTTTGCTCTTTAACGTAACCCGAAAGTTACACTTAATGAAATTTAGCTGTCGTTTGAATTCTGAGTACCTAAAAGCACGTCTCTCTCCCCGCTTTTTTGTCAGTTCTCGCATTTTTTGATTTTATTTAGAAAAGCGCGATGTTTCTATAGTCTCATTTACGGATTCACCCAAGATTCATATTACTGAAGGGAAAATTTTCATCCACAGTTGTTGACCCTTTAGTTTCGTGCGGTCGAACAGCCTTGCGTGAAGAGTCAAGAAACTCCGTACTATATAGTTACCTATTTATAAATTTAGAATGTCGGAGATTTTGCTTTCGAAATTTAAAAAATTGCTATTTGTATGCCTGTAATCGTCGCTAAGTTAGCCTTCTTGAAAGATCCACATGTACCGGTCATTTGCACGGCCAGTCTTCTTTTATGGTAGTGCACATTGGGTCGCGAGCGCATTCCTTCCAACTGTGTAGCTCTCCCATCTTTTATATCGTTTTGGTGACACTGACGGATTTCTGTCTATTCTCATCCTCCACTTAGTTGTAGTGAATGAATTAGTCTGCAGTTACTCCAATCTGCTCTTAGTTACACTAATTTATG